GGAAAAGCAGAAAAAACACCATGCCAATTAAATTGTTTTTCTCCCTGTTGCCAAGTGATTTGAAAGATGTGCCATAACTTGTATGCCTACGAGATTTCTTTGTGTTTTGGTACATATGCAGGGATTCAGAGAAACAGTTAACTGGGGAGAAGACCAGGCATACCACACAGCATGACTGCACCCCAAAGAAAGTAAATGTATTTACACACTTGTTTAAATTAATATTCCTAGCCCACCCAGGTCATCATGATAATGAGGGATTTTTTTAAAATAAAATTGCAGCTCTATTACACAAGCTGAATTTAGGGTGATGTCATGTTGCACATAAGTAGTCAAAATAAGATGGTATTTACACACTCTTATGGGGAGACCTCTCTTAATTAACTTTTACTTTAGACATTTTTAAAATGTTTTTTGTTTTGCACACTCCACACTTATGTCCCTTCTCAGGTAGGTGGCTTTGGGGTTTTCTTCCTACTTAGGGCCAACTTCTTCTTGATCCTTTCTGCATCTCTTGTCTTTTCTCTTACTTTCCTGTTGCTTTTGGTTTAGAAGTGCTCTTTTCCTCAGTTTTTCAGGTGTTGAGAAACCTCTGTACTTGCCCACCACCAGCACCTCACCAGGATTCTCTGTCTTTCTTTTCAACTTCTTGCCAAGGTGACTTGCAGTAGGAGCTGATCACAGGTGCAACACAGAACCACTTCCCACTGCCTAAAATATTTTTTTTTAAGTTTCTCTTTAAAATTGTTATATTTAATGGAAGGTGTCCATATTCTTGTGTTTCCCCATAGAGTTACCAGCTTCTTTCTTCTTTGTGGTCTGGAGGATAGTGATAGGGATGAGGAACCCTGCAGCAGGGGCCCTGTTCTTCTCCTCACATTCACCTGCTCTGGCACAGCTTCCCTGCCCCAGGCCTAGGAGCAGGAGCAGAACTGAGGACCATCAAGTGAAGGAAAGACTCAGCTCTCTCCTCTCAAGTCCATGGAGTTGCAGGAGTGAGAGGCAATCCTGCTCTGCTTGGATGATGGGGGACGGTGTGGACCACAGTCTCATTTTCAGGGTAGAGATGACATCTTGGCTCCTTCAAAGCATTGGTTAGAGGGAAATGCTTTAACAACAGGCAGAGGGAAGGGTTTGTGGCTAGTGATGCCCCATGGCAACCAGAAAGTCAGGTACAGAGCTGAAAGTGTACGGTATTGTTTGTCTTTTCCCCAAACAGCGTCCTTTAAAAGCCTGCTCGTGGATGACCTGCTTCCCACTGGCAGCTCTGTCTCTCCCGTATTATGACTTTGCAGAGCTTTTGGGTGCGGTTCACTTTGAAGTTTGAGGCAAAAATGGAATACTGAGGAGTAATAGCTCTATCTAGTCAGTGTTCTATGTTGTGCATTTAATATAAGTCTGTACAGCGTGTGGAAAACTCAGGCCATGCTAGGAACATTTGAAATTCTCTGCTGTTCCATCATGCACACCATTTGGGGAAAAAAACAGCCTTTCCCACAAACTCATTCAAGCCTCTCCACCCCCTCTCACTAAGACACTTAGAAGTTATAACAGCATACCAGAAATGAATTACACTTGAATTTTGTGGTTTAGACTTCAGGCTTTATTTTTGTTGTGATTTAAAACCTGTAATTCTGTGATGTTTGTCCCAACTTCAGATGCTCAGGGAAATGCAGTGATTGAGTTCTCTTAATAACATGAACAAAAGTTAACTTGATTTTATTCCTGTTACTTCAAAAGCTTTCCCTAATAATGGTCACAACCTTATGTTTTCTGCAAAAATGTATTTGATCTGCCCAATGATGAATCCCTGTTTTTGAAATGGGCAGCTTTTCTCTCCCCTTATGGTTTTGCTTCTCTTGTGCTGATAGGTGGCACCACCATTGCCTCTCACAGTCCACTTTATTGGTATAATGGAATTCAATTCTCCAGTTTGTCCTAAGTCCCTCATCTTTCTTTATCCTCATAATAGATTTCTCTGCTAATTTGTTTCTTTCATAAATTTAAATAGCCGGCTTGTGTTTACAAAGACTGAGAATACCTTGGTGGCAGAGGAGGGTGGTGGATGCAAGCATGAATATTTTTCTCTTAAGCACATCTTGTCAGTGACTTTTGTCTGGTGTGTTGTGCTTCTCTGGGATTTTGAGGTCTAGTTGTTTAAATAGAACCAGTTTTGTGAAGTGTGATGAGATTCAGATTGCAGTATGTCCTTTGAATGTCCACTGCAGTGGCAGTGACCATTAGTCTTGTTAAAGTACAGTTACATTGGTAAAAGGAATAGTGTAATGGTTTCTATATTTGAGTGCATTAATCACTGAAAAATGTTCCTGTTCACATTTCTAATGATAAATTTAATTGCAAGGTTGATAACTTGTCTTTTTTATTTCTACTTATTTCCATGGTGCTATTTAAAATTCATCTTCTCATTCATTATTCTGATAGCTTAAAATGGCTGCTAGCTATTTTGAGGCCTGTGGCTTTGCTGAGTAACTATGATGATTAGGGATGGTCAAGAATAACTTGGTGAGGACATTATTTAGAAGTGATGATGTGTTTAAATGATACCTTTTGGTGTCAATATCCAAACCTGATAAATAGCCTATTGGGTGTGTCACTTCTTGATGCTGTGAGGCTCATTTCCAGGCCCTGAGTGCAGAACAGCTGGTGTTGGGGCAGTAACCTGAGATGGCAGGCGTGATCAAAATTCTGGCTTGGGAGCTGAGGGAAGGAAGAGTTTGAACCATGTTTTATCCTGCACGTGTGCACTGTAACTAACGGTGCCTTCCATGTTATCTCTCCCTGCTTCTGACTCCTGAGAGTTCTGACTCCTGTCAGCAGAGATGTTCTCAGGGGCTGTAAGTGATATTTATCAGGAGGTTGATGCTTGATAGGTTTTATTGCTGAAACACCTGCAAAATCAATTCTCTCAAGTGCCAGCAGTTTGGTGGTTGTGCAGCCAAGCATCCACTGATGAGCAACTCCTCTGTTTTGTTTTTGTTGCTCTCAGAGTGTAGACATCTATTTTTCTAAATCTGACTATTTTTCCTTGTTTACCTGCACAATGTGCTCATTTGCAGCCCTGTGGTTGACATAACCCATTGGTTTGGGAGTTTGCTCTGAGGTGCTATGGTGACTGGTCAGACCGATCAGACCATGTTGCCTCCACTGGTGTTGGTGTCAGTTCATTACCTTGGAGTTACTCATTCTTTCTGCTCTGCTGCTTTCTTCTTGTGCCTTACTTGTCAGTTTCTTAGACTCCCTAGTCCCCTGAACACTGACAGGATAGTTGTTTGGCAAGTAGTTCCTCTTCTTGCAGTGGGACTGAAGCCTGTGGCTTCTTCCATGCAGAGGAAACAACGCCTTTTCAAGTCCTTGCTGTTTTGGTACTAATGTGACATTCCATATGAATAAAGCTGACACATCTAGCCAGCTTTCCCCATACTGCATATGAAGAAAAAAGAGGGCAGTGCATGGAAAGGGTAAAGAAATGCCCCTTCTGAGGCTACATCTCAGCACAAAGCTTTTCCCTGGGCAAATGTGCAGGCAGTCCCCTGGGTACTCACTGCAGTGCCTGGGCAGAGGTGAGGCTGCCTGTCCTCCATCCTTCCCAGCTTCCTCCTCTCCTCTGCCACCACATGGTGTTCCCCACGTTTGCCATCATGTTGCACCCCACTGCAGCAGAGCAGCCCCCTCCATGGTGCATCACATCAGGCCTGGGGGCTAACCTTCACGGAGTGAGACACCTGGGATCTTTCAGATGTGGTAACGCGGAGCCCGCAGCCTGGGGAAGGCATGGGGAATACCTTGCTCAAATATTTTCCTTGAATTAAGCCATGTTTACAGACTGATAAGAAATACTAGAATCCCAGGGGCCTTCAAAACAGAAGGCTGTGGGGATTCTTGGGTTTGTTTTACTTTCTATATTAGAAGCAGCTGTTATTTTCTTTGTAGATTGTTTTTTTTTTTTAAATGAATTTTAAATGAAAGAATAACTTACATCCAGTGATTATGTGTTAAAAAGAAAAGTTTAAAGCATATTAAATTGCTAAAGCAGAGCAATATATTTTCTATAATATGAAATTCTGATACCAGCACCTTGACTTACAAACCCTTCATGACAGGGCTGCCTATAGCTTATGAATTAAGTAACTTCATGTACCTTTTCCTTTGGCTTGCAGCTGAAGGAAGCAAGTGCGCAAGAGGGCACATTCTTTTGTTGTTGATAGCATTCCGCCTTAACGAGAAGGAATTTCTTGCCTATTGCCCACTGTTTATGAAGTGGAAAGAGATCACAAGTTGTATAATCTCTCTATTTATCGTTAGATTTATTCTTTTTTAAGATTTCTCTCATGGGTCAGTCCATCCTGCAGCAGGTGCAGAGAGTGGGTGCTGCACCTATGTTTTGTTAAGATCAGTGTGAAGTTGGGGGGGGTGTGGGTGTTGGAAGGGGAAGGGGAGGAACTCGAAGCAGAGAAACCCCCCCAATTGAAGCAGCAGCAGCTCTGAATACAGTTTGGTTTCTGTCTCTCCGGAGCTTTGCTCAGCAACCAAACCCAGACTCCAGGTGCAGTATTCCCTCATCAGTCTGTGAGCATAGAAACGGAGCGTCCCTCCTCTTCTTCCTCCCCTGCCAAGAGTTTCTGGGTGGTGAATGTCAGTAGCTGGAGTTATTTTTAAAGGCAAGAGGTGAGGCTTGTCGTGCAAAGCTAGGAAGAGGGCGTTTGTTTGCTGAGCAGAGCTGACATCAAAGTGGAGATTGCTGCCTACTGGCTCACCGCTGCCTTATGCCAGGTAATCTTTAACGTACCCCTCAGTCCCTGAGATCGCAGCCCAGCCTGCCTGTGTGCATGAGAAACCAGCAGCGTTTATGATCCAGAAGATTGCTTTTCCAGTATTATTTACGTGAGCTGGACTTTGACATTTAAGGGCTCGCACTAATCATCTTGCAAAACCTGCTTAGTGCTCTTAACTGAGCAACTGCTTTCTACTTCTCTTTGCAGGATAATATAAATGTTTTTCTGAAAGCGTGCGAAAACATTGGACTGAAAGAAGCTCAGCTTTTTCACCCAGGAGATCTTCAGGATTTGTCCAATCGAGTTACAGTCAAGTGAGTTTTGTGGTTTTGTTTTCTCCTTTCCCTTCTCCCTCTAAGCTCTTTCACAGTCTGGGTTTTTTTTTAATGTTTGCCTATGGAAAAATTCTTTTAATCTGGTATGAGCAGTTGTGAATACTGTGGTGAGGGTTTTAATCCTTGTTAAAGATAGTGGATAAGACTTGCAGAAATGTAATTTAAAAAATGAAGTATTATAATAATAGCTTACAAGAAAACTGATTGTCAATGAATATTTACAACATTTAATTTGATATGGAAACTGTTCAGCTTATTTTAGACTTGGAGCAAAATTGTTAAATAAATCAAAAGCATCACTTTTCTTTATGATTTGTGATTACCAATGTAAATCTGAAAGGCTGAGGTGGTACTTCTGATACTTATCCTAATGGATTTGAGGCTTATGTATGGTGTTCCCAAAGGACTGCTGGTCTTGCCACTCCAAGTCAGGTGTTTGTCTCTGAGTGTCACATCCCCTGTCAAGGGGCATGTGTTTGTGTGTGAGTAGAAACTAAGTACTGAATTGCACAAAGGGTAATTGGCATGTTTATGGAGGTGGGAGTTTTCCTGTGAAATATCAGTGGCTTGGTTCTGAAATATATTTAGTAGATTTTCATATTTCAAGACTGCTGTGTCTCCTAATAAGAATTTTATAACCAGTTTCTGAGAGATTAAGGTGAAACTTTACAGACAGGTGTTTTAAGATAAATGAGGTGAGACAAAAATCATCTTAGGGCATCTTGATTTGTTACAGTATGAACTGTTTTTATTATATTGGGACAAAAGGATGAATTCATTGTCTCCAAAAAAATCCCTCACAATCTTTAGTGGGTTTTGTTGGAAACCTGTCAAGTTAAATATGAAGGATTGATTCGTGTCTTAAATTACCAGTTTTATCAAAGAGGAACAGGCAGTAATCCTTCTGTAAATATAGGGAAAAAATGCTGTGAAATGACATGTAACTGCTTTAGTTAGAAAGAAATCTCTTGTAGGTGGATCGGCTGGTAGCCTGTTGACATGCTCTCTGCCTGGTTTCAGAATGAAAGTTCATACTGTTTTGAGGTCTGATACATGAGATGGCAATGTGTTTTCCAGTCTTTGGCTCATACCCGAAACGTAATTTCTCACTAATCTGGTGTTTAGGGACTTGGCACCCTTCCAGTACGCTGGTATTCTCTCTGCTGGTTCCTACGTCATGCCAAAAGCTGGAGGGTTGGTAACCTCTGCCGTGCTTAATTTACCCACAAAGCCCTAGCAAGAGTTATTTTGGTGGAGGTTTGCTCCAAGGGAATGGCTGGGAAGGGTTGGAGGCGGTCAGGAGCTGGTGTTCAGCAGCGCCAATAGCGACAAGCTGGAAGCCCGGGGAGGTCAAGATTGCAGAGTGTTGTGCAAGGTATGTTGTCCAACTTGTCCCGACGTTAAACCGCGCACCCAAGTGAGGTCAGCCGTGAAATTCATCCAGTGGGTCTGTAACCGAGGCTTTTTTGGGTCCTTTCAGCACCGCCAGTTCCCTTCCCGGCTCCGTGAGCAGAGAGTAAGGCTGGAATTTGAAGCTGTCACGAGGCAACAGGGGTTTTACGTCGTACCTTCTCAGCAATGGTTTAATTAGTGTATTTCAAAAAAGCAGATTTAACTATTGAGTACTTCTTATGGACAGCGGTGTGGGGGGTCTGGGTTAGAGTCAAAAGAGCTGCCAGCTATCCAACCATGTTCTTGTAATTTGTTTCAGTATGAGTTTGCTTCTCCACACGTTATATATCATATGACAGTCCCACAGTGTGTATTAAATGCTTACAGAGTAATTCAAAACTTCTGTATCTGAGCATGCTGTAAAGTGGTGTCCTAACTATGATAACACGTTTGATGTATTTAGGAGGTCGGAGAGGGATGGGAGTGAAGTTTTATTCCAAGAAATGAAGGAAATAAGTTACACAAAGATAACTCTCTCCATTGAAAAGTTAATTATAGAAATAATTTTATTACCCAGAGGGCAAGCTATTCTTCAGAGGATTTTCAGAGAGATTTATAGTTGTGTCAGGAGAGAAATGCTGTCTGATCAGGAATTTTATCTGATGTGTCTTTTTTATTATTTAATAGAAATAAGTAATTTCATATATTCAGGATGAATTACAAATGTCTTCAAAACTTGTAGGATGCCTGTCCTCAGAAAAGGGGGACTATTTAGTGTCCTGCTTTTGTGTTATCCTGTTAACTCTAGTTTCATAATTAAAAGTGAATAATTTCTTGTCTCAAAGAAGGAAAACTTTTCATCCTCTGACTTATTTAAAAGATTGCATTTAACTTTTGGATTTCTAACATTCCTAAGCAAATTCATTTAGCTGCTGTCACCTGAGGCTAATTGCCCACATCTTAAAGCAGCTGTGATATGTTGTGTGGGATAACATTAATGTGTGCCTGAAGCAGTGTGTATTTTGACACCACAAGAGGACTGCTGTGTTCTGTTGTTGCATCGCCGTTAGCACGGGTTTTTTTATCTACCCAAAATAGATTAAATAAACTGTTGCTTAGAAAAGTCAGTTTAACAGGGCTGGGGTGGCAGAGAGCAGGGTGCTGGTAGGACACATGCCTGTACTGTCAGGTGTGACAAGGTGCTTGCTTTGCCTTGGATGTCGAAAATTGGTCAGAGGAAGGTAGCATTAAAAGGGTGGGTCTGCTTCTGCTGCTAAGGAGGACATGAGAGTTGTCATCTTATGTAACAGCAAAACCAGTCTTTCACACTGTCTGGGAGGTTGCATCTCTGTCCCTGTCACACTTGTTCAATTGATCTAACACCTCTGGATGCTGGGCAAGTCCTTGGGAGAAACACCTACCAATTTAAGAGGATGAGCTCTGTGAAGTGGTGTTCCATGGGCTTCTCCTGTTTCTGCTGCCTGGCAGTTATGTGTGGTATCTCCTTTTTACCTTGAGGGAACTCATATGCCCTCAGGCTGTTGGCATCTCAGACTGCCATCCTGTCCCATCTGTGTCATCCCTTCCCAACAGGAAAAGTTATTTTCTCCATGTACTTTATTTCTGAGTATGTTTGCTGCCTTTTATCATGCCTTCACTGATAGCACTGTCTAATCAACACCACCACAAAGCCATTCAGAGTTACCAAACTCTGTTATGTGGTGCAGCGTTCTTGTGTCACCTAAGTTAAGGTCAAGACTCTCGATTCTTCATTAACAGAATCTGTTTTGAGAAAATAATCTTTCTATCTGGTGAGGAGGTTAAAACTTTCTCTTGTATTTTTCTCTTGCAACTGAGATGATGCACAGGCATGATGTCTCTATAATTACTAGAAGTAATCTGGGACAAGAGAAGCAAGAATCCTCTTACATACCCAGACTTTCAGTTCCAAGTGATTATGTGATTATCCTTTTTGCAAAGAAAAAGCTTCTTAAAATTTTATTGTTTAGAAGTTTATGTGAAAGAGGCTGGCTGAAATTACTGGTTGCTGCTCCAAGCCTTGCAAACTTTGTGCTTTGCCAGATCAGCAAGATTAGTAGTTGGGTGGTGTGGAAAAATGGTCCTGGCATGGATGGTTTATTTTCTGCCAGTGAAAATGGGAGTGTGGATTAATGTCTGAGATTTATAGTTCAGTCTTTCTGTAAATCTGCAGAAGTTATTGCTCAGTGGTATAGTACTGCAATATGTCATGTGTTCCAAGAAGGATCATCCAGATGGACTATTCTTCACATACCCTGTCTGGCAGTCATATGCATATCCTCTTGTTCAGTGGCTAGTTATTTGTGTAAGTGCATATGTGTCCCCTTCAGTTCTTTTGGTATATTTGATTTTTGTTTTCAGCATAGAGTTTTATTATTTATAATTGGAGATATTGTTTTAAAACCCAGCAGTTAGTGAAGATTTTTGCAACTTATTTATACTTATGCAAGATTGTCTTAATACTGCATTTGATTATTTTTTGGTTCTGTCAAAGTAAGTCTGTAATACAAGCTTAGTGACTCTCAGTTGTCAGGATGGTTACTATTTAAAAATGTTAAGCACTTCCTTACCCAGCTTTTTAGGGGTGACACACCCAGTTGTTCCCAGCTGTGGAATGGTTCTTAATAAAATCATACCACGGAGTTAAAAGGGAGAGTTCACATAGGCAGACACCAAATGTCAGTTCTGATGGAGTTTATCTCAATTATCAGTTTTAAAGGAGGCAGCCTGAACATTCAGACTGAGAATGTAAATTCAAATTTATCTTTGAAGCAAATTAAGTCTTCTACATGCAAAAATTTATAATTCTGTAAAATGAGCTCTCCAGTTGAAGAATATAATTAAATTCTAATATTAAATCCAAAAAATGGTGGGTTAATAGATTAAAATATTAAACTAAGAAAAACAAAAGAAAATTCACTGCAAAATCCTAAATAGCAAACTTTTTTTAAGCTACCACAGCCCTGAGTTCTGATGTTGAAGTTTTACCATACTAATTTCATTTTTCAATAGTAGACAAAATTAAAATACTTGGCTCCCATTAATATTATTAGAGGAGGGCCATGAAGATGAACAGGGAGCAGCTCTCATGTGAAGAAAAGCTGAGAGAGCTGGGGTTGTTCAGCCTGGAGAAGGCTCCAAGGAGACCTTCCAGCCCCAAAACAGGCCTAAAAGAAAGATGGAGAGGGACTTGTCACAAAGATGTGTAAGATAAGACAAGGGGTAGTAGTTTTAAACTGGAAGCGGTTGTGTTTAGTTTTAGATATTGGGAAGAAATTCTTTACTGTGAGGATGGTGTGACACTGGAATAGATGGAGCTGTGAATGTTCCATCCCTGGAAGTGTTTGAGGCCAGGTTGGATGAGGCTTTGAGCAATCGGGTCTGGTGTGGAAGGTGCCCCTGCCCTTAGCAGAAGGATTGGAACCAGAGGTCTCTTGCAAGCCAAACCATTTTAGATTTAGAGACCATTTAAGGTCTCTTTGCAACCCAAACCATTCTGTGATTTTTTTTTTCCCAAGATAGCTGGAAATAACTCATCACCTTGCAGA